CTACTCTATATATTTGAATTAGTACAATAACAAAAAACAAAAACAAAAACACAACAAGAAAGTCTGTGCTTGTCTATATAAGTAGATAGGTAGACACTGGGTAGACAGATAGACAGATAGATAGATATAGGGACGTAGGCATAAACAAGGGAAGAAAGGAAAAGAAGAAAGAAAAAAGTAAGTCTAAGTAACACCAAATCTGGAAGTAAGCATGTAGCAAGAAGGAAACCAGAGACAGTATAATGCGTATATACTCGTATGGACTTGGGTGGGATAGGTCGACGCCAGATAAAAACCCAACAAACGTGAAAAATATCAACAAGAAAAGAAGAAAGAAGAGCGGGGGAATATGTATAGAAGAATACGGAAAGAAAAGAAATTTGAACATAAAGAAAGAAAACAGAAAAAAAAGAAACTCTATACTTGAATTCTATTCTATAGGTACTTGTTCATATATGTACGTGCGTATGTATATCATAGATACAGTCGATGGCGTATGTATGCACGTATAAATTCGAGAGGAGTTGATGGCTGGGTCAAAGGGTGATAGGACAGGACAGGACAGGACAGGACGGATAGGAACGAGACGAGACGCGACAAGAGACAAGATAAGGAATAAAGAAAGAAAAAAGTGCACCAGAGTAATGAGCAGGGAGCAGAGATAGAGAGAGGTGGAGAGGTCAAGGCTAGCATCAATATCAGATAATCAAGAAAGGGACATAGAGATGGGAGTTGGGTGTGGTTCAGGACTAACAAAAACGAAAGCAAAAAAAAGAATCAAAAAATCTGGAAACTCTATATTTTCTAAGCACTCATAGGACTCAACCCCCTCATCCCCGTTCGCATCTGCGGCGAATCCTCTGGACTCACAGGCGACATCGGTGGTCCTACTCCATCAACCAGTGACCCAACCGAAATCGGTGAAACAGGCACCGAAGTCAATCCAGTAGGGACGTGTTTTGTCGTCGTCGTCATTGAACCCATCGCGATGTCCCTATCTCTCGAAGCCGTATTGGAACCAAGAGGGAGCGGTGATGGAGGAACACCCAACCCGTACTGATGATGCCCATGCCCATGCATCGACGATGACGGCAGCAAAAGATCAGAAGGAACAGGCAACGACCCCACGTCACCTCTAGCAGCGGCTTCAAACAATTTAAAGCTAGGTAACTCGACTCGTTCGCCTTTCGGCTTGTGTCCACCATTGTTGTTGTTGTTGTTGTTGTTGCTGTGGTTGTTGTAGCTGCTGTGATATGGCTTTCCTTTCAAAAGCGATCCCCCACCACCACCACCAAGGTCTGGAGACGAAGACGAAGACGTCGTCGTCGAAATCACATTCGCCAACGCAGGACTCGTCGATTTAGATGTCGTCGTCGAGCTCATCTTTCCACTTTCCACTTTCACTCCATTCAAAACACCGCCAATCGAAGAAAAAGCAAGAGGCGGCGAAGGAGCTCTCGAACCAGGCCTCGACCCTGACATCGATATCATCCTTGCATCCTCCTCTTCTTCTTCCTTGAACTTCCTACCTCCTCTATCACCTCTACCATGCACATCCTTCTCATCATCATCCACCTTCAACTTGAGCGGAGCCAACGTGATCGGCGGACTCGAACTCCTCGAAACAGGATGACTCGCCGCTCCTCCTCCATATCCATATCCAAACCCGAAATTCAGACCTCTCGATGACGTGGAAGAAGGTGGAGGATACGAATGCGTCGTCGTTGGCGGCGGAGGATGTATAGGCGTCATCCCAAACGCCATCCTCACTGAATGCGCTATATTGTGATGGGGGTGTGCACCCTGTTGCCCCTGGTGCGCGGAGGAAGCGGAAGGTGACCCAGCCCTCGAAGGCAATCCACTCACCTGCCCTAGCCCAACCGGACTTCCCGAGTTCGAGTTCGACGTCGAGCTCGTTGGGGTCGGTATACCTCCCGTTCCTGCCATCCCATTCAATGCCCCGTTGCCACTTGCACTTCCACTACCATGATGATAGTGCCGATGTCCATGTCCATCCTTATCCTTATCTTTCCCATGAACCAGCCCATGCCTCTCAAAATGCGTAGGATACGGTTGATGTTGATGATGTCCATGTCCATGACCGTGCGCATGCCCGTGTCCATGCCTATTATGTGCCACTCTCTCTCTCTCCCTCCCGGCCCCATACATCGGCGGACTTCCCCCCATCGGACTCTTCTCCCCACCTCCCATTTCACTATCTCCACCACCATCATCCAAATACAATGGCGGCGGCAACCCAGGACTCGGACTCGCTGCACGACTCACACTCGTACTCGGCGCTGCAGAATGCAAATTCAATCCCCTCAACGGACCCAAGAACGGTGACGTCGAAGGTGTGTACGCAGGCGTGTTCAGCTGCGTCGTATTCGCGCTTGAGTAAAAGTATGGATGACTGTGAGTAGGTAATCCAATGGAGTCTCCACTTCCACTCGCACTTCCTCCTCCAGGTGTATTAGGCATACTCTTGACAGTTGATGGAGGAGGAGGCATAGCACCACTCCTAGCTCGAGGCCTCGACCTCGAACTCTTGATATGTATATGGACACCATGGTCGCCTTGTTCCGAATCTGATGAAGCGGGGGACGGCGTCCGAGTGCGGTGTGTACGATGATGAGGGTGTGAATAATAATGAGGATGATCTATATCTCTATGCGGAGAATGAGGTCTGGAATGAGGCCTGGAAGGTGGATAAGGGTATGGAGGGTGTCCATGAGGATGATGGTAATGATGATGATGATGGTGGGCAGAGGGTTCGCCTCGGCCATGACCAACGATATGGCCCGTCGACCGAGAGGTACTCAATGCGGTGGTGGCGGAAGACGATGAAGAGGGAGCAGGGAAGGAACTGGCAGGTGTCATGGGCGTCATATACCACGCAGGACCCGACATGCGTCGTCTCGATTTCTCCTTCTTGTCCCTTTCATCGTCTCTCTCGAGTTCGTCGTTGTCTTCGTCGTCAGCGTCGCCATCGCGCTCATTCGAGACGCCAAAATAGCTTCTGTCCGGAGTTGGGGCGTATAAAGGTGTAGAGACGGGAGAGGTGGTGGCGCTCTTGACCAGTCTAGGATCATGATAGGGGTGATGAAGGCTGTGTTGCGGGAATGAATTAGGGTTTGGGTTTGGGGTGTTTGGGGTGGTAGCGGTGGTGGTGGTAGTGGTATTGGGGTAAGGGTTAGCGAGTTTGTTCCTGGACTCGAACTCTGCTCTTCTAAGGGCCTCGGCGTGCTTGGCCTCGTACTCGGCACGACGAAGAGCCTCTGCACGTTCCAGGGCATAGAGTTGTTCCATGGCTACGGAGGAGAGGGTGGTAAACGGAGATGATTGTTGCTGTTGCTGAGGAGCCGAGGAAGACGGAAGGGGTTGTGCACGACGGGAATGGGCAAAGTCAGACGAAGAGACAGACGTAGGACGGGCGTAGGATTCTCCCTGAACCAAATGAGCCAAGTGAGTGAACAAAAACAATTTTCATGGACAGAAAACACACCTCGTCATCGCTGTTTGCTCTACTGCGCGCCTTTTTCTTGACCTGATGGTTTGCCTTTGGTTTTTTGGAAGACGAGGGGTCGTTGTTGTGGATTCTGGAGTGCCTTGTGAGCTCGTCGTTGCGAGAAAAACGTTTTTCGCATCCGGGAAAATGGCAGCTGTAGGGTTTTTCGCCGGTATGAGTGCGTATGTGGCGTGTCTGGAAGGCGGTGTCAGAAGTGTTGGGGGAAGAGAGCAACGGTACTGACCTGGTGTTCGAGACGAGCAAAGGCCCGCCCACAGAGGGGATAAGGACACTTGTACGGCCTAGGGACCTGTTTGTCGGGGTTGGCCATGGATGATGGCGGTCAGAATGAAGATTCGATAATCAAGTAAAATCTATTTACCCCGCACGGCACATGATTCGCCCAGGGCGGCATCATTCGGTCCTTGCATCCCCCGCTTTTTTGGGGGGTCCTTCTTTCTTTTTTTTTTCATCCCGGCTCTTCCCGGTCTTGGACGGCGTATCTTCGCGAATCTGCATTGCATGTCTCTGAACACGTCATCGTTTCGTCACTTTCAAGAAAAAAAGCTGTAGGCCCCCGAGGCGTCCTAATCGCGGATATCGCCCCTATCCTGTACAATCACATGGATGCTGATAATCTCCCACCTCCGGTTCTGTCTTCCGATCGTCCATCTTCTCTTTCTGTTCTTTCTGTTCTTGTTCATTTTTTCACCTGCCTGGAACACTTGCCACACGGCCTCGACGACCCGGACCAGCCCCAGCATTTGAATTGAGTGCATCAACAGGGGTACCGTTGCTGTTATGCTGTTGCTGTACCTACTTACGTCTCCGTCGTAAATGTACGTACCAAAACTGTGCGGTTCTTCCTGCTTCCCATATGGAACCACAAAAAATCTCGTTGATTGCACCAGCCGAGCGATACGACATCCAGACTCTAAAGACAGCCTACTCCAAAGTCTGAACGATATATGAGCCCAAGCCTCGAATGTCAGCACTCCTTTCTCAGTTTCTAGATACCCCCTACTACACAAAAGGCACCTTTCAGTACGACCCTTTAACGGCAAATAACGGCGAATTTGTCGACGGTAAAGTAGCGGTAAATACATGTCATGGATATACATACGTAGGAACGTCCAAGACTCTAACCGGTTGACGGTTAGAGTGAGGTTGTAAGCAGTTGTTGCCATCGCAAGCTGCTGAAACAAATGAAACGTAAATGATACTCTCCATCCTTCAACCCACCGGTATGTACTTACGAACTCATTTCGACATGATCTCCATGTGTAACTCTAAATTTTTATGCGTCAATTTGCAGCGGAAAAGGGATAGTCCTACATGTACGGCTAGCCATTCCTAATTTCCTATCCCCGTCTCCTCAAGACAATACCCAGCCAGTCCATGCAACATGCGAGCATTAATGTAAGTAGGTAGGTAGGTCATTCCTATCTCCGTCTCCTCAAGACAATACCCAGTCAGTCAGTGCAACATGCGAGCATTAATGGGGTAGTGGTAACCTGGGTCGTTGCCATTTAACCGCATCCTGGATTCATGCACTGAGCCATCGACCCGCCGGGGGTTCGATTCCCTCTTAATGCATTGGCTTTTTCTTTTGATTTCTTTTCGACATTCATACTTATGTATGCGACACGGACTTATCAGAGAAGAGAAGAAGAAAAGAACAGAATTTTACATATTGATTTGTTGAATCCACGAGATTACACCGGTACGTCTCACGTTATCGTTCGTCCATAGCTGGCAACTCGATTACTTACCCCAAACCCATCATTCCCCTCCCCTTAAGCTCCCCACACTTCTGAGAGATTCTCGACTTCTTTTCGTTGTTCCAGATCACTCCAGAATTCTTCTTTTGTTTTATATAACATTCCGGATATATTTACTTCTATCTTTTTTCTCCTCCTCCTCAAAGTCCGTTCTGATATAAGATTATTCTCGACCTCTTCTCGACTTCGTTTTTGTCCTTCGTTACGGTTTTCGTTTTCCATACATATAGTGCCGCTTTTACGTATGAACGTATCACCGTTACTTACCCCGGACGCCACTCTATTCCGTTTCATCCCACCGCGCAGGACCCATCTGTACATGTACAATCACCATCTTTCCAGATTCTGTTCAAGTTTTCTGCTAGAATTCTGATGTATCGGAAAGTACTGGCCATCATTTCTTTTTCTCTACTCTCGCAAATCTTTTCTGATCTTTTTCGACTCTCGCTTCTCACTTCATTCGATTCCCAAAGTCAAGTTGAACCAGAAAAAAAAGACCCGGGCATACAGCGACCTCCTATATCAAGTTCAAGGACTTCTAATTTCATATATATACTCTACACATGTATGTATGTATGAACGAATGAATGATAACGTAGCTGAACAGTTGCATGCACTTATATATGCATACATGACAGCTTGACTGGGCTGGTCTGATTGAAGCGGAGCCGTTTGCCAAAACGAAGCTTCGAGGTAAGTAAGACGAAAATCCCACCGAAGATGTTCCGAAGAAGACCTTCCTTCATACACGCCACTCAATGCTATACACGTATCGTAGCAGTGATGTACACTGTTACAGTCCTGGTAAATAATCGAGATACGTGTTCCCTCTCTCGAGCTCTCGGTGGTGTCTCGGTGGTTGTGAAGAAGAAAAAAAAAGGACTTCTTTTGGATAGATAAGAATTTAACCTAACTAGGTTGGCCTGGGATGTGGGAAGCTAGTTGGTGGGGAAGAATAGCGTTTTTTCCCTCTCTTTTTTTTTAATGAAAAAAGTTCTCTCGAAAGATTGTGAAGTTTCTTGCCAAGTAGATGGGAACATGATTTTACATGGGTGTGTGTGTGGCTACTGCAATTCAATGTTTCACCTCCTAAGCTTATGAGAACCCGGCGTATCTTCGTTGTACCCTGAAAAAACATTAGCTAGCACCAACACCAGCCTTGAACTAGTGAAAGTAGATACGGTGGAAGTCACCTATAGGGGTGGCGCACAGGGGGAGGGGGGTTGCGGAGTCGGAAACTTGAATTTTGGTATCATTACTATTTCGAATCTCGAATTCTCGACAAGACTTTTTTTCCCGTACCTATAGTCTAATTAACCTGACTTGAGCTCAGAGCGTAGCTGGGGCTCTCGAAACGCCACGACCATCACCAAAGGCTGTATACACCCATGATCTGCGGAACCCCGTGCCGATATCCATTCCAGAAAGTGGCACCATAGTATTAGTGGCATCAGTGACGAGTGGCATATCAATTTGACAAGTGCTGATGTGGTATGGTGCGGACCACACCGAGAAGTTCAACATAGATTGCATCACCATAATTAATGGGGTACCTATGTATCAATGGAGGTGAGTAGCATCAGTGATTATGACTAGCGGAATGACTCCACTTCCAAGTGGTATTTTATGACTGCTGGTATGATATGATTACTTATCATCAGACTACTGGTACGATAGAGGACTAGTGAGCTTATTGTGATAAGTGATAAATCGATAACCACGAAAGAGAGATTGAGCTTTATACATCCTATACGTAGACTAGTGCTCTAGAGATGTATTCATGTGCAGCCAATGAAGTCATATATTATAAGAGCTAAGTATACTCACTATCGTTTCTTCTTTCTTCTCTTCTCAACTTCTCTTGGTTTTTTTTTTGGTTCAGTCTCTCATGGGATTGAGCTCTGCTCGGGGAATACCAAAATTAGAACCTCGAGTACTCAGGCTATATATGAACTCTTATCGATATCGCACGCGTATGTGTACTTTCTATCCCTTTCTGCAGTGTGCGTACACGAGAATTCTCAGATGGTGATGCGTGAATGACGGTTTACTTCCGGTGAGTACGGTACCGGTTGTACATATAGGTCTCGCGATGATCAACTCGAATATATCCTCCTCAAGTCTCGACATGTCCGGGAACTTCCCGGTGTATATAGCAAGTTTCATATTACTATCGATTTCACACACACAGGTTCATCGCATATGCGACTTGTTGCTAGATATTGATTTTCGTTCACCGTCTTTCAATTTAAATTCTCACTTTATAGGTCCACAGAATCGGCCACACTGAGGAGCTTAGTGTTCAGCGTGCCAACAAGCAATAAGAGCAGGGACATCATAGTCTCAAGTGCAATTTCTCCCTTCCGGATTTCCCTAGCCTTTGCTCTCTTATATCTACGACAATAATAATTTTGGATAAGATGATAGTTTAGACATTCAAGTTCGAGACCTCTTCAAGTTGGAAATCTAGTCTACCTAGGTGAGTCAGATTCTAGTTAAAGCGCTCAAGGATATACATGTCGAAATGACCGCAAATGAGGACCTCAACACCTGTACAGTAACATATCCTGCTTCCAATTTGAATCACAACGTCACTGACGTGCGCTTGGATTCAAATCCACAAATTGGAATCATTGCAAATCCGCTTTGAACCACAATTGAAAGCTGATTTGAAGCATTCCTTTTGTTCACTTATTCTGTTGCCGAATGAATATACGGCTCCTCCTCCTCCTCCTGATATATTGACCAGTATGTATCCCGGTTTGATCTCCAGAAAATGTGTCTCAGGTCGACGTCACGCTTGTCTGACTTAAACCTTTTCAACTGTTTTCGACAGTCCGAGGCGCTCCCTCTTCCTAATGAGTGATAACGACCACCGCTTGCTCATCTCCAAATCCACTGCTTCTTAAATACCTCCTCACGGCGCAAACCATACTCTCACTCCACAAGTAATAACACCCACCAAAGCTCGCATCAACAAGACCAAGCCTCCGGTCCCAGATGCTCCAATATTTACTCAACCCTTCTCACTCTAAAGTCAATATCTTCCTATCCCGACACTTCGTCTTCCTTTAGGGAAATCGCATGGTATTTTCTATCCAGCGATGCCCCGTAGGCAATGGGCCAGACAGACATATTCGGTCAATGAGGGAACGCGTAATCATCAGACGATGGGTCTGTCGATCTCCCTATTGATTTCTCTTCGTCTTTCGTTTAGTCCGTTTTTGTTGTTTTTCGATGATGACGAGGCCGTGGTGATCCCGCATTCACCTGCTTTGGGAATCAAAATCATTATACACCATCTTTCTCGTCTTTTTTTCAAACAAACGGGTTTCTTTTTTTCTTTTCCGAACCCGGTCTTTGTTCCTGTATATTCCAACAAATGGGGACAGTCTCATTACTATTACCCTTCTATCACTATTGCTACTGGTAACTGTTATCCACCCGTGCTCTAGTTGTCCGAATAAATCCCCCTCTCTCTCTTCCGAGGTTTCCAATTGGTCGTGTCTTGTATTCGTACTCGCAGTTCAACTCTTACATGTAATCAATCTTCTTGAATTCTTTGTTTCCCGAGGGCGCATTGTATACTGTTATATGTACCATTTAATACTTCCACGCTGTTTTCCATCCTGAAAATTGACCTGTCCGTACCAAGTGAATATTCAATATTGTACCATACCATGTCAAAAAATTTGCGTTCAAGTCCGAAAGTCGGGGACTGCGAACGCGCACGCGGAGCGTTACTGGATGAATACTGTTATGGCTCGGCCTTTGTTGTAATCCCCGACTCTCGAAGAGGGCCTTGTACCCCGTTAGCACCGAACAATTCCCACGGCCTGACAGTTGCTAGTTTATCTCACGCCATCGCACCGGATCAACGAATAAATCCCCCTCTCTCTTCCGAGGTTCTCACTTGGTTGTCTCATAAGTATTCGATCTCGTAGTACTCGCAGCTCAACGTTGCGCTCAACTCTTACATGTAATCAATCCTCTTGGATTCTTTGTTACCCGAGGACGCATTGTATACTGTGATATGTACCATCTGATACTTCCACGCTGTTTTCCATACTGAAAATTGAGCTGTCCACCAAGTGAATATTGTACCATAACTATGTCAAGAAATTTGTTTCAAGACCGAGAGTCAGGGACTGCGAACGCGCACGCGGAGCGTTACTGTTGTAATAGAATAGGGTGGGATTAACCCACTTACTGGATGACTTCCCGCGAGGATTGTATGATTCCTATGACGTTCCCGCAAGGATTATTTGCACGAAGGTCTGTGATTACATTGCCAGACATACGGATGACCCTTGCTTGATTGGCAACCAGCCAAACAGCGGATGAAAATCTTTTTTGTGCCAGATTGGAAATGTTTTGACCTTAATTGCTGTAGTCTCGTACCCAGCCGTAGTATCGGCCCAGATCGGCCCCTATGCTACCTACGGCTGGGTACGAGCTGTAGATCGGAGATTTTTAAATCTTTTCTCCCCAACTCGGTCTAGCCATTTTCAATGTCATGTGATGGTTTCTCAGCCACCACCACAACTTGTGTAAATCATTCACCCAATTTTTTCCTCAATGCTCAAGCCTCGTGTCCCTGAATGAATTTTTGCAATTTGATCGAGACTACAGCCCTCGGGAGAATGCAAAGATGAGGAGTTGTCAGTACAGGCTCCAACAGACATGCCAAAATTGGTCTGAGTGGCTTCGTAATTACTAGCGCTTAAGGCCTCTCCACAACTAATCATAAGCAAACTTTCTAGGTCGATTTTCTTCCCTAGAATTTCGAAATTAGCTGTAGTTCTTGCGGGAAGT